AAAGGTTGTATTTAAATATAATAAATTAAGAGTTAGTATGAATGTGAGTAGAAGAGTTTCAAGAGATAATAGAAATTGCAAAGTAAAATATTAACAGTTCGGTCTGATTCAGTCTGGTCTGTTCTGGTCCGGTCTATTATGGTTTCCAGTCAAAATTTTGTTAGCCCAGATTGGTCCAGTCTTAAGACTTTGAGCGGACCAATTTTTTTTTTGGTTTCAAACTGGTCTTAAGACTGAATGTGGTCCATTAGTCTAAGACCGGACCACATAACATCCTTAGTTTTCACAAAAAACTGAATGTTTTTCCATGGGATATATTTCGTAAGACAATTAGTAAAAGTTCTTTAGTATTGCGAACAACTTTAAAGGTTAGATTTATTCTATATCTCGTGATCTAGTGATTGATCTTTGCGTCATTCGATTCTTTCTTCGAGACGAATCGAATGGTATAAAATCATTCAATTTTTATTCGTATTACTAGATATCCGAATTCGTCAAAAATACCTCTAAGATTTAACTTTGTTATACAATGTGTATAAATTCGGTTGCCGTTCTCCAAAACAATATACTATGTTGCTGTTTTTATATAAAACTTTTCAAAATTATGTAAATTATGTCTAAATTACCGAAACTTACTGCAAAATTACATAAATTACGCAAATTTACCGTTAGGGTAATTTTAAAACCCTAAATCCAGCCTGTCGTTACGTGTATACTGATGCTTTCTAAAAATTACTTGTATACCCCAGGTTTTTTTTTAGTGATTGTAGTACGTACGAATTACATATTTAAGGTGTCTTACGATCCAATCTTCATTATATAAATGGTGATGCGTTGCTTATATACGTACCGGTACAAATAATGCACTTTGAGAAAGTTGGCCGTAGTTATACATTAATAAATTCAAAAAAACGAAAGCAATAGGTCAATTTCTGTCGATCACAGTATACGCATACTGTATACCGATACTTACTGTATGAATTTTAAAATGCTTAGCATCTATAGGTTTTATAAATTCCATAATCTTCAATCAATAACGAAGCAAATACCGTTGAGTTTACACTATTTTAATAATAATACACTAAAATTTCGTAAAATCGGAAATGAAAAGAGCTCATGGTGCAGAGGAACAAAAGGTAATAGAAACCATTATTGATCCATTATTGATAGATCAGTAAATGTTAAAAGATAGAAGTGATAATAGAAGACGATAGAAGTGATTAATTTGATAAAAAAAAAAAAACCATTATTTAATGAGCTCTAATTGTTAACGCTGATTGCGCATCCTGAAACCATTTTTGTAAGGTTTGACAATTATATAAGTAACGCAACATATGACCCAATACATTTATCTTTCAAACCTTTTTTGCTAGAAAAAAAATCATGATAATTCAAATAAAATCGACCTTTAACGTATTTCTCATATTTACCCTAGCATTTCCAATTATTCAACAAATTGCAGTTGGTAATCATATTAAATTTTTATATGTAGCCAAATTTTCTACAGTTGCCGCTTCAGAAGCATCTAATCAATCTCCACGAAGAATAATAGCAGTCGGAGATTTACATGGAGATTACGAGCAAACTCTCAAAGTATTAAAAATGTCCAGAATTTTGGGCGAAAAAGAAAATTGGATTGGGAAGAACGGAATTTTGGTTCAAACTGTATATATTTTAAGACAATTTCATGTTATATGATGGTAATTTAATAATATTCTAAAATTGTATGTATTATTGTAAGAATAGGGCGATATAGTAGATAGAGGTCCGGATTGTTTAAAGATATATAAATTATTTGATAGATTAAGACAAGAAGCGGAAGAAGTTGGTGGGCAGGTAACTACAATATCAAATTTATTATTATCATTATTATTATTATTATAAAATAACAAATTACATATGTTGACTTTTTTAATTACAGGTAATAAATCTGATAGGAAACCATGAAATAATGAACCTTCTTCTAAGTTGGAGCTACGTAACACCCGCAGACATAAGTTCCTTTGGCTCTGTTAAAAACCGCATCCACCAATTTTCCTCAGAAGGCTACATCGGTAAACTCCTATTGACCACGTTTCAAATAGCATCAATAGTGGAAAATGATACATTATTTGTTCATGGGGGACTTGATCTTAAATGGGCAAAACTTGGAATAGAAGACATAAACATACTTGGTAAGGGGTTAGTAAATAAAACGACAAAGATGCTGAGTAAAGAAAATCCTACTATCACTTGGGATCAAATGAATGTTACGAAAGAAGAAGCTAGTATTTTTATAGATATTGATGGTCCACTTTGGATGAGAAAATACGCTGAAAAAGATGATGAATCTACTAAAAAAATGGTGAATGAAGTCTTGGAGATTTTAAAGGTGAAAAGAATAGTCATAGGACATACTCCATTATCAAGCCGTATAGTATCAAGGTTTAATGGTAAAGTATACGTGATTGACGTTGGCATTTCTTCTGCTTATGGTGGAAATTTGGCTGCGTTAGAGATTGTTGGTGATCAAATTAAGGAAATATATCCTGGTGCAATGGTGAAAAGCAGTAAAAGCAGTGATGATGATAATAATGAAAATGACAATAAAATTATAAAAGATGAGTTATGATGATGGATTGCTTTGTGGAAATTTACTTTCTAATTTGAACGGCAAAATTTTAAAATCATGCATCGGTTGAGTATGGAGAAAAGTTAATTAATCCAAAACCAGATGTTCTATTTTCAATTAGAAATACATTGTTACAAACGTAGGAAGCAATTCTCTATTTATGTGATTAAAAGAAAATGACAACCTGCTTGCAAGCGTTCAATCGTATATTGAACATCTTTTTACTGATCAATTTGAGTGTTCGTATTATATGTAGATAAAGAAAATATTAACAGTATAACTAAAGGCAATAATTAAAATCACAACAAATACAATCTATAAATGCATGTTCTATGTGCAATCACATATATACCTCTTTAGATACCACGTTAAGAATTAATCTTTTTTGCAGCAGTAAATACGCTCATGTTATAAAATTTTCTACCATTTGATTGATCTGATCTATTGGGCTTTGACGTTGCCAATTACTTAATACCCAAGTGCTGAACAATAGAATAAAAGGGAGTTCTGAGAGATACAAAGTATATAATTATTTTCCATTTCCTTTACAAAGACTGAAAGAAGAGGTCAATTATTTTATGTGCAATGCCGAATAACATTGGATCTTTCTTTTTTCTATTCATATTATAAAATTTAAAATAGACGTAAGACTTAAAAGGTTAAAAAATAATAATTAAAAATAACTTAAATCCTCATTAATTATTCACGATATGTAATGTAAATTTATTATTTTTTTTGTTATTAAATATCTTTACCCATTTTGCAATGTTCTATTCCCTCTTCGATAAAAATAATTTCACTAAAAACTGTATATCCTCTTTTTTCATACCATTCTTTTTTAACAATTTGAGCATGCAATATACATCTCTTAAACCCTAACTCGGATTTTGCAAATGATTCTACAGATTGGATAAGTAATTCACCCACTCCCGTGTTGCGATATGGTTTCAAGACTGATAATCGACCTATTTTACCTGTTGTAGAAGTAGGAGAAAGATAAGGATGTATTCGGACAGTGCCAATGGGAAGAGATGATTTTAAAGCTAGAAAATGATGGCATGAAGAAGAATTATCATATCTGTTATGTAAAAAGGTTAGCGAGAGGTGTATATATAGAAAACTTTTTGAGATATAAAATTCTAAATAAAATCTTTTATGAAACAACTTAAATACTCACTCATCTAATTCATTTGCTGGATTACAATTTTGTTCTTTAACAAATACTTCAGTCCTTATTTTATAACATTCATTTTGTTCTATTTATCATTAAATTGATTTTAAGAATTATGCTCGTAGTAATTAATGATCAATTTATTATCGCAAGTTCGTAAAATATACCTTCTGTGGTTGAAACATGAATGATTTTTATATCATCCATTTCACTGCGTTGTTTAGTTGGGTAACAATAATCTGATGAATTAACGTTAACGTTATATTAAAAATGATACTTACATGTGACTATAATGAAAATCCTTCACAATTGTCACATGCAGATTTCTTTCAACTTTCAAGAATGAAAAAATTCGGGAAAATGGCACTCTCCACAACGACAGTGCAAATTTGTACTTTTTGTTCAAAATCATACTGGCCAATTTAAATTAAAATTTTTATAAAAAAATTTTTTTTCTTTTATTTTAAGCGTACAAAAAAGAAGTTTGATATTTTTATATTATATATTTTGAACTGGTGAGATAATCAAATTTTAATCTATTTGATTTTACTGACGCAAACCCCAACTTTCTATGTTTAAGGCCAGTATTTTAATAAATGTTGTCATGCCAGATCAACGATCCTCCGGCACTTTGATAAATCATATATTACACAAAATCTGTATTATATATACGTTATTGAATTACATTATTATACGTAAAACGTACCTATGGTGGCGTTGCACCGCAGCCACTTATTTGTGCGAGTAATACAAATTTCTAAGAAGGAAATGGCCAATCAGAAAACAGAAATTTTGGGTTTTCCGGATCAGTCCGACATAGAATCCGAACACGTGCGAAA